CCCCTTACTAATATCTTCTCTTTTTTATGTTTGTCACACTTTAGTATTTGTTGTTGTTTGATGCTCTGAAACATTTGACAAAGACAACAAACATGCACTTACTAAATAAAGGTGTTTATTATTAAAAGGGGGGGGATCCAAACCTACATAGCCCTGTGTGGGGGAAAAAGTGACCCCCTCCCCTTCTTATGGTGACTCTACCATAAGAAAGAGACTAGGCAAGAAATGGCCGGCATGGCAGGAATATCCTAAAAATTTGCGCAAAATATTGTGTGGATGAAGAGAGAAAAGTTGAACCTTTTTGGAAGGTGTGTTTCACATCTCATGATAGTAACAGCATTTCAGAAAAGGAAGATCATACTAACAGTTGGATGTGATGGCGGTAGTGTGATGGTCTGGGGCAGGTCAGGACCTGGAAGACTTGCTGTGGTAAATGAACCATGAATGCTGCTGTCTGCCAAAACACCATGAAGGACAAAGTCCAGCCATCTGTTTGTGACCTCAAGCTGAAGCACACCTCAGGTCTGCAGCAGGACAATGATCCAAAGTCCACCTTTGAATGGCTTAAGAAAAACAAAATGAAGACTTTGGAGGGGCCTGGTCGAAGTCCTGACCTGAATCCGACTGAGATGCTGTGGCATGACCTTAAAAGGGTGGTTCATGCTGGAAAACCCTCCAATGTGGCTGAATTATAACAATTCTGCGATGATGAGTGGGTCAGAATCCCTCCACAGTGCTTCACTACCAGTTATCACAAATGCTTAATTGCAGTTGTTGCTGCTAAGGGAGGCCCAACCAGTTATTAGCCATGTAGGTTTGGATAGCCATATTAAAGTGATTAGCCTTTCAGTGATTCAGAGATTTTCAAATGTTGTAACAAGTCCTGTGTGTTTTCAAACAGAGCTACAACTGTGTCACAAAAGAAAGAGCTGAAAACCATTAAAGAGCCAGTCCTCAGTGTTCTGTGAGTACACTCATCCATACATTTACCCTTCATAATCTTTCACTCTGCACACAGACAGCACCGCGTGATGCTAATGTGACCTGTTTATTGTTGTTGTTTCAGCATGTTTGGTTTGCTACAGTTTGTATCCAGTTCTACTTTTCTCTTAGAAGTATCAACTGATACAATGATTTTGAAATTGATACAATAGCTGCATCTACTAAAAATGTCAAAATTTTGAATTTGATTCTAATTGACCTTGACTTCAAGATTAGAGGTCAGAGTTTTCTGAAAATCTTGCGAATGTGGTAATTTGAGAACGATTCAATGTGGGATTTTAAAGTCTATGTCTGGTTAGTGATTTCTTGTGCTGACTAATTTTAGATTGGTAGTTCCGATCGCTTTGTGCCAGATTCATGAGAAGGAATAAAAATGTACCAGGTTGACCTGACTAACATTCATATTCACATACAAGTCACACAAACTGTGCATTTGATATATACGTTGAATTTAAGATGTGGTTTTCGTTATGTAGACTAAACCAAAAACTACAGGCTGTTCCTCTTATACCCGTCCATGTGTTGTGTGTGTAGAGCGGAGGTGGAGAATGAAAAGTCTCCAATGGTCACCGAAACACCGAGGAGCTCTAAGAGGAAGTCGGCCATGCTGGTGTCATCACGCATCAAGAAACAGCTGTGAGTGCAAAAGTGGATCCATGGGATCTCTCTTATTTTTACATACAGTGGTGTGAAAGAGTGCATGT